TATAAATCTACAAATTGATAAAGTGTTTGACTTTGAAAAAAATACATAGTTTGAGATCACACAACTTCAGGTCATGTGAAATATTCTACAAAAAATGAATTGCATGAACATGTTAAATAAGAGATGCACAAAAATTTGAGTTTTCAATTTATATTTATTATATTGCAATGTACCGATTTGAAACGTTAGTAGGTCGTCTACTCAAATGGTCCATTAAGAACGAAAATAGCGAAATACGGTATTTCATCGAACCTATGTTAAAACTTCCACGTTTGATGCTTCAGAGTGCCGGGCATGCACATTAAGAATTCACACCTTCTCCCTGTACTTTATTTCATGTAAATGTTCTTCTTTTCTTCAATATCAAATTGCAAATTGCACAAGACGTCAATGAAATTTGAAATTGGAATATTTTGTGTTGTCTGCCCTTCTTTGCCTTGTTGAACTTATTGTAATAAGAGAGATATTTTCCGTTTTCTGTTTTATCCAAGGAAGCAATATTGTTTTCCACTCAGAAAATGAGAACACTGAGGAAAATACACCCAAGTTGTGGCATAGTACGCTAACCGCTCCTGCATCGTACCACTCGTAATGACCGATGAAATAAGACAACAACGGTAGAAAAACTCTAACCATAGCGAAAGAAACAGAAATGATAAACACTCGTTCTATTAGAGGCGTAACATATCGAAGTTCATTTATTTTTCTTTGATCCGTGTTCTGGTTTCTTCTGTGCTTGAATAATGGATGAAAAAACAAACCCAATATAAGAGTTATCTCGACAGTTCTGATAACAGCCATAGACATGCAAACTTTAGCAAAGCCAGATTTGAGATAAATACACCGAAGGAATCGCAAGCATAGGAAACGTAGCTATCCACAAAACACCTATCAGGCTGAAAACTCTTGTAACCTTATTAGTCAGCTTTCGCAAAAATGGATTGCAATATAGCATTCTTTGTCTGCACCACATTGACGCAAAAACCATCATATTTACCCCGGTGAAGGCGATGAAAGTTACTATCTTCGAAATAAAGCAATACTTTGAACGGTAGTAGTCTAACATTATTGAATTAACACAAGACAAACATCCAATAATCTGGAACGAAATCGCCATGAGGGTCGTATGTCTTGTCAATTTATCCCAATCCGTACGTCCCAGTATCTTTTGAGCTCGCATCCGCTGCAACTTCAATTTTTTCTTGTAATATTTCAACATCGCAAACCACAGATAAGTGCAAATTATTGCGTGTATCATTCTCGTCATTAGTAAAGTTGATAATTTTGTTGCCGTATATTCTATATATCCAGATGTCGTAAAAATTGACAATTTCATTTCCGTGGTATTTTGGGCGGCAAATTGTTCCATTTTTGCTGTTAGCTATTCTTCGTTTTTGGTGCGTCGTGTGCTAGAAACTAAAATCCATTTCGCCATAATCCACCTAAAATTAGTTTACATATAAATGTGTACTAGAATGTAGAGCAAAGTCTGATTCACAATATATATATATATATACATGTTGTGTCAAAATTTTAGGAGATGAGAGGCATTAATAATTCATGTTGATAGACGTCATTATTGATTTAAGATTTTAGTTTAACATCGGAGCAAGCGAAATTTCAATTAACACTTCTACCTTGATAACTGGATCAATCATGAATTACTTTAGTCAGGTTCGGAATATTAATGCAAACCTAAGACTGGAAGTTGATTCTTCACATGACATATTTGGAGGAAAATTTCCTAGAACTGCAGTGTGCGAAATACTTCAAAGTAGATGTGCGAAAACGACTTGGAAGAGGGCATCTCAATATTTAAAAAAATTAGATGACTCACATCCTCATAGAAGTATCAAAATGCTTCGCGAATGACGAAAACAAATAAACATTGTTTTTCTGAAATTAGTTCTATCAAAACTCGAATTCAAAAAAATCCAATATTAACGAGGTTAAATGCTGGGCATTAGGCAATGTGAAGAAAATTCTGTTCAATTTCGCTTTATGTCATGAACATGGTCAAAGATTTTATCTCAATTTAACCTCGCTTTCAACCTAATTTATTCGAAAAATCGATATATTACAGGCCGATGACTTGGCATATCTTCCATGAAAAAAATTAGATAAGCTACAAGTGTTACTATTCAATAAATGTAAACTAAATGTCAACATACATGAATATGATATAGTGGGAAATATGTCATTGTCGTCCTAACGTAGTGAATCATAAAATCGATATTTTCTTAACATTGACTGCCTGTGATATGTTTGTTAAAGCTTTCGTTTTACGAAAATGGCTGGGCAATGCAGCAGCAATATATGTTAAATTAAATTGTTTTGGCCTTCGTTAACGTTAACCTTGAACATGTAAAGATTAGTTGCAATGCTATAGCGAAAACATCTAATCAAAGTTGTAAGATTTCTAGTACAAAGCTTCATCGACCAGTTTATTACAACATTAAACTGAAGAATCCTGAACGCATCATGAACAGTTTCATCATTTTTTACAGTTATTAAAACTTGAAATTGAACTCACTGCTCAAACGTCTTAGTGTAAATTCGGCATCAAAATAGCAAAAAAATTCTTTTTGTCTTTGATATCAAACCATTAAATTTCCGAATTATTTACAGTGAAAATGTTCCGAGCTGGTGCAGTAACATGTAAATAAACTGCAAAAATTGTTAATCCTATTTTCTGTAAGATAGACATTTTTCAGAGATGAAATATAGTTCAATCAATCTGTTTGATATTTTCCTAGACGTCCTATTTGTGCTAGATGAACTTCAAAGCTCTAATTTCTGAGATGTTGAAGCGAAATTCAGGGTACTCCCGAAGTATGTGAACCAAGATGGCGGACATCGGAACGTAGTATATATGTGTACCAGGTTAGGGTTAGGCCATAATTTCAGGTAAAAATAATACGGGGGTCACTTGACTAGTCCCCAAACTCGTAATAGTACTGAAATCAGAAAAATTGGATTGAAAATATGGCCTAAGCCTAACCTGGTACACATACTACGTTCCGGTGTCCGCCATCTTGGTTCACATATTTAGGAAGTACCAAATCTTGTATCTCGCCGAGAGTTTTCTTTCTGAATATATCGAAACATCTAGCGGGTCCGGCCGAACGCCGAAAAATGTATGTTTTCATAAGTCCTGGGGTTCTAAGAAGCGTTTGAGGCAACGAAAAATTGATATGTATGACACAGAAAGATGCTTTTATTTTTTTTACATTTTAAAGGGAGGGGGGGGGGGTGTTTGACACCCAAAACCACCCCCTGGCTATGCCCCTGGTTGTGACATTATTTGGCTTGTGTTTATAATTACCGTATTTCCCGGCGAATAAGTCTACTCGGTAAATAAGGCCCGTTTTAAGCCTGAAAAAATGTTTTTTGGCATATAACCTGCCAATAAGTCGGAGTAGTAAAATCGCATCAACATCGGAAACTCAAATTACCATGCAATGCCTTTGAGCGGTCGCCGCGTTTGAGCATTTGTTAAAATAGCCTATAATGCCCTTTTCTTGTAGCGTAATATTCCTATCTATAATAACTACGGGAATTCGAACTGTCTTCAAATTTTAATCTAGTTGTGTTCATCTCGCGATTGCGTCCACCGTAAAAGAACATTACCTAATACATAATAAGGCGACACCAAAAAATGAAAATTATTATACTCGCCTAATAAGACGACCCCTAAAATCTGGCCAAAATTTTGGGTCTAGAAAAGCTACTTATTCGCCGGGAAATACGATAATTGCTTTTTTACATAATAGTTTTTTTTTTTGCCTGTACACAGGGTTTTGGCATTGCAAACACATTCATGTTAATAGCCTTGTTTATAAAGAACACTACTCAATCGCGAGATTAATTTTTGAAAGATACATTGCTTTCTCCGACCCATTTTAGAGCTCCATGACAAGTGAAATATATTTTTATTGTTAGTTATATGCAGGGCTATATTGTCTTGTTATCAACTGCTAAAAAAAGTTGTGTGAGTAAAATGTAATGTGGACTGTAATGTGGTAATGTAGCTGCGATAAAATGTTTAAAACTGTTTCGAACAATGAGAAACTGCTGGAGTGATTCAATAAATGTTGATGATAAATCGTGCAGCTCGTTTTTACCGTCTCTATTTTTGTGAGATGACAACGCTGTTTACATGGCGATATGTGGAATTTGAATCCGTCAGACGTTACTCAGCACGATATGTTGCAACTTTAAAATAAAATGCAAAGTCTTTCCATGCCTTGTTAACCTTAATACTAGGATTAAGAGTCTGAGAGATGATTCACTAGGTACAATTTTTAAAAAGTGAAACTTATATGTGGCTACAATAAGAAAATTAAACAAGTGAAATTAGATTTATGCAGAACAGGCTGCTTAGAATAAACTTTCATAAAATAGAGGAGACCGAATGTAGTGTTTGGCTTCCTCTGCCCTGCACTCCTAGCGAAACCGCAGACTGTAATAAAAATGAAATATTGTTTTACCTTCCATAAATTCAACTATTTTTGTTTTATATATACAAGTTAGAGACATAGTGGAAGCCAATTGACGTCAGAATAGGTCTAGACGAAATGTACATTGTAAACATTTTTTGTTCATGCTTTACTTACCTGACCGGGTTTTCTTCACTTGTGAACTTTCTGTAATTTGCGACGGCGCTTTACGCTGTATAAAAACACCGGGATACTAACTTATTTGCGCCGAATAAAATTCAAAAACAGCACACATAAGATAAAGTTATTGTTTTATTATTAGTTAAAAATAATACTCGTGGTTAAAACTATAGAGATCGTATCAAATTTGTTATCAGTTCGGTTAAAATGCGCATTAAAGCATTAAATTTTCTACGACTGTTAAAACATAAAAAGTTGAATACATAAAGTAAGATCACCGCCATGGTCAGTTTTCCAGCAATATTATTTCGAAAATTATTTGAGAATATATATAGATACATTATGCAGAATTTTAAAGCAGTAGGAACAAAGCCGTTAGCATTAGGTAAAAGCATTAGGTATCACAATTTCTACTGATATCATCGTAAGATGTAGTTTCCACTTCTCAATAAAATAACAATGCATTTAAAATTGAATGATGCCTCAAGTATGATTCATAAACTATCTTGGAAAAGTAAGGTGAGGTAAAATCAGGAGTAATAAAAACTATAAAATGTTTTTCCAAAAATTTTGTAAAAAAGTGTGGTCTATTATTCGTCATCTTTGGTTGAGAACGTTACGACTATCATCATAACACCAGCAATGAGAGAGAGTGGAAATGCGATCCATGTGAGAATGAAAGAATATCCCCAAGATGTATTGACAGAGTGACTTAGACTTGTGAATACCGACGCACAGATAAGGCTGAATAAAGCTGAAAATGACAAAATAGGAAATATAAAATAGATTTCAACTAATAAATTCTGAGGAAGCTACTTTCTTGGGTGAGAATGAGAAATCATTGAGGTTCCGCAAAACGTTTCAAATTTATTCACAGTATTGATTCTGCTGTTTTACAGAACCAGGAGGTTCACGTTACCAACATAGCAGCGGTGAAGTATATACATCGCAATTTTAGAACAATATCGAAATTGTAATGACTTCCAGTTTGAAAAAAAGTACTGGAGTGAAATATCAATGTTGGGAAAAGTTTTGTAGTAGGTCTGCGAATTGTTGCAATTAAGTTTCAGCATTTTCACTTAATCGATATAATTTTTTTCTACTATATATATAGCAATGCCCAAGAAGTACAGGTCGTATGTATACCATACAGTGCATTTGTCTAATATTTCTTCTCACCTCCCATCATATAAAATGTTGCAACGACTGATGGACCAATTTTCTTTGTTTTGATCAAAGATACAATTCCAAACACCATTCCCGCAAATGCCATTGCCACAGCTAGTATGCCAAAGCCTCGGATAGTCTCTGAAAAATCAGGAAAGTTAGTATTTCTGACTTATTATGCTGGTTTACTCGATTCCTAAATATCTTCGCAAACTAAATATGATTTTCAATTTTCACCAAAAGTAAAAAAGGTTATTTTCCGTTTGTTTGGGGAAATTCAATAGCTTACCAAGATTTCCCTCATTATTACGTAATTATTGTAACACAACTTAACTAATCATTATACTGTTGTGATAATTATATTTTACGATCGCCCATTCTAAATGATTATAATTATCGAGCTTCGAACTAAACATGTTGAAAAAAATATTGCAAGTTGCCTTGTGTAATATCATCGTTTATCGATACAACAAATGCAATACATTACTTCTTGTAGCTCGAGTTATACACCCAAACACTCAACTAAGGCTAAAAAACAAACTGCATCGTGATATAATGTGACTTGCCAAATGCGAAGTATTCTTGTTTCTTCTGTCCAACTTGTATATCATTGCAACCTGAAGCTTCGCATCTTTTCCATAAACCAATTGAATGGGTATCTGGACAGAGTTTTGCACAGTTATTGATAAGTAATATTAATGCTGATTCTTTGTGTTTTTTTCTTAGTTTCCGATTTGAAATTTAAACACGCAAATCGAAATTGCATATTAGAGCGCTTACGGTTTAAACGATGTTCAAATTATGAAGTCCAGAATGCATGATTGAATGCAATATATTGCAAAGATTCTTTATTTATGACAGAGTAAAAATCTAAGATTGAACAACGTTATTCCGACACCCATATATTAGTCCATTCGAAAACGTTAGCTTAATGCTGCTTACACGCAGCGTTTACTGCACAAAAACCGCAGATCCAAGATCCAGAATGGTCATAATAATAGAACACACAGATTAGTATAAATCTTACTGTAGTGCAAAGGGGAAATTGCCTCTTCCTCGATCCCGGATCCCAGAGTCCAGAAATCGGATGTAAAGCCAAGATCAATAATTCATAAAACGTACGCACAAATTATCGAAATATTGATATACCGTATGAAAATTGAAATATATTACCCGTATAATAGTTACTACTATATATAAAAGATTACCTCCTGTTCGCCAGTTGTTTGTACATAATCCAACAACTCCCATAACGAATGATACAAATCCGACAGCCAAGCCACATATCGCTAAAACTTTCATTGTCATTTTCTTTTCTTAAACTAGAACCTGTAAATTGTATTACAGTGCAGTAAACTATTCGTGATTTGGGGACATTCAAACACAATAAATCTACAGCTTAATTACAAAACAGTGTACAAATCTCGGCTCGAAAACACAACGGCACACCTTCGTTTCGCTCCACTCGTTACAATTCCACGACAAAAGGTGTCTTAGCTCCAGGGTACGAAAATGAAATCAGAGCGAGCGTTGAAATCGTCAGACCTTGGCCACTTCACGGATGACGAATTTATTATAGAACTTCGCAAAATTTTGTTTTGTTTTCGCGAGACAACACATCATAGAACAAATGAAAGTCTCCGTACGCCCTAGAAGTCGCTGGATAAATATCATGAAGCATTTATTGAAAACTTATCTCGTAGTTTTGAGTATATTTTGTGGATGTTTAGTTATATGAATCCAAAAGAATTTATTTGTATGATAATTGATAGTAATGCTGATATTTTTATTGTAACAAACGTTATTCATGAAAAGATAATTTAGAATTATACCAAACAATTTAATTACTTAGATTTCGCTGCGAATGTGAAAAAGTTGCTAAGGATAGCGAATTTCTTTTACTTTTTACTAAACTCTAACTTTGCATAACTTTCAACAGGCAAATATGACGCCAGCCGTCAGCTGTGGTGCGCGTTACCAATTGCTGCGGTTGTCTATCTTATCACATAGAACAAAAAACAAGAACGGGTCCGCAGATTAATACGACATTCCAAGAACGGTTTCTCGTGCAAACTCCCTGGATCCCACCACTGTTTATGCCTCTACGGGTAGAATGGCAGCAATATAATCTTCAAAAATAAAAATTGTGACGCTTAAACCGCACATTATTTGATTAAACTGAGCCTGAGTGCAACCCCTAGTTCTGGCGTACTACCACATGTTTCTTAATGAGGGGAGAGATTGGGAAATTCAGCACACGCGCTGCTTTATCAAATTTTTCCAACAAGCCATCAAACTTGCTTAGTTCCTCTTCTTTAGAAAAGTTTCAGAAGAATTTGCATGTTGATGGCTGTTTCCATGTTTATAATGTAGATTAAAATTCAACTGCAATTCATTCAAAATAAGTTAACAATGCAGTTATAATTTTGACGGCATCTGACAGCAACGCTAAACCAACTTGGAATTCTTTGACCCTGCGGCGGATAGATATGTTCATTAGACAAACAAATTATGTCAGTCTTGATTTGTCTGGGACTACATCGATTCCAAATTCCCAGTAAACAAAGATGAATGGAACCGTCAAAATGTCTATACTTATATTTTTTAATTTCGGTTTGAATATAATAGGACCCTATATTCTATGCAAATTTCACTTTATGTATTTTATGTCGTGGGAACACTTTCTATGTCTCCTGTTATATTCTTTGTTCTATTTGAATACAAATCTATTTCACAATATTTCACAATTCTATTTCACTCGCTCTTTGAATTTCCTTGTTCTCGTTTTGCAAGGTATGAGAAGAGTTAGCTGGCGCATACTTTGTGGCATTTGCAAACTGTGTTCATATGATTTGTTTGCAATTATTGAGCTACTGCACTCGGGTTTGATGGATGGACAAAAATGAATTAGTTTTAATTTTACTATGTAGGCTATGTTTAATAATTGCTTTCTGTACTTCTTGGATATTGCCTCCGTGGGAAGTGAATAAGGATCTATAACTCCTGCATTCGTAGTTTTTGCTTTCAGTCGAGTCTGCGTAATTCAATATCATATAAAGGTTTGTCGATTCGGTTTTGTTTCTTCCCTGAGTGGAAAAGATTAAGAGTGAGTCCTAGAAATCTTATCAAAGAATTTTTCAAAACGTGGAGGCTGCTGAAATCATTAGAATTCATATTATTCATAAATGTATTCAAGTTGAAGAAAGTAAACTTGCGATGGAGTGTTTCTATTCTGATTTGAATTCGATTTTTAGGATAGAACATTGTACAATTGTAAATGCTCCGAGATACATTCTACATTCTATATTCATTCAGATTCAGGTCGAGTCTCGATGGTTTCATCGAAGCATCGATACTAAAATTGTAGTTTCTTAACTTGTTGTGTCAGTTTATTCATTATAACCAAAAATCTAACTTTGAGAAACTGAGAACTTTGAGAACATCTCAACCGAAACGCAAGAAAATGCAGCACAATTAAATAGTCACTGAGTAATATCATCGTTTGTGTGATATCAGGAACTGCTAAAAACTAATGCAGTGATACGGATTCAGACCATTGTCGCTCAGTGATAATCAGCGATTACTATTATAATACAAAGAACAATAAAGTGATAATAACAGGATAAAAACGAAGGTATCCAAAGTGTAGCGCATTGATACAGGAATAACTAAACCTAATTCACAGAACAAAGATTAGTAAGCATACGATGGTATTCGATTTGAAGGCAATATGAGGCTTAATTGGTTACATGCCACTGTCTTTCTTTTTGCTTGTCATATTCGTGCTTCCCTATATGCAGTTTATGGCATTGGTTCCTTTTAAAATTCTATGAACTTCGACGAATGAGGCCGACGGAAATGACTTGAGCATGCACATCGGTATTATTTAACAGGTAAGAAGTAGCACCGAGTTTGTCGAGCAAAAGTGAGGAAATAGATAAATGATTTAAAATAAAACAGCACAATTTTGAGTGAAATATCGGGTCCCAGTACTCAGAGGACAAATATAGACAATAGCTTCATGAGTGCGCACAAACGCGATTATTTCCTAAACAAAAATTCCCTACATAAACACCTCGTGTCCAAAAGGTAATCATTGGATGAACTGAATGTAACACTGAAAATGTTTTTTTTTAATTTGCTTCACCTACTTTGAACATATATATATATTGTTTAGTACGGGGACATTTGTAAGACAAATCATAATTTGTATTTTGTGTTCTGGCACTTGTTTGGGTATGTAGGACAATTTCATCCGGTTATTTTTATTGTTATTAAAGCGTAAATGAGTAACTATTCGTTACACTTCTGAAAAACCAAAACATTACAAATAAATTTGATCTCCAATTAAAACACTGCCGATTGGAACTAAATCGCTGAGTGTAACTCATCCTCATTTGTCAGTCGTTTGCTAAAATATAATTTCAGGTGAATAACAATACTTAGTGAACCGGCAATAACAAACTATATTCCATTGAAGTATGTTTCCATTGTGTATGTCAAAGTTGCACTTGTCAGTCTGTAGTCGATATTATATTAATACTGTATAGTGAAATCGACTTCTGTTGTTTTGTGTGTTATCTGCGGTCGCAACATGTCGCTGTAGCCTCGTCAATTTCCAGTGAACGCCAGGTTACAATATTTATTACAATATTTATTACAATATTTTTTTTATTTTATCAAAATCCAATAAAAAAAATAAAAAAAAAAGGTTACAAAAAAAGTTTCCATAAATATGCAATAAAAAGAGCAAATTGAAAAATAATGAAGTACTATTTTGAAGATTTTATCTTATACATTAAATTAATGAACATATTAATTTTTGCAATTTGCATCACCATTAGGCGAAGAAGTTTTGTACAGGCCTGGGCGCCCATAGGTTCTCGGACCTTTAGCCCAATAAAACTTCCAGGCTAGTTTCCCACTTCTAAAACATGAAGTTACTTCTGTTGATAATCATCCAAATTCTGCATATACATATTTATATTAGATTATATATTTACCTTTTTACAAAATAGTTTTCGTCGTATTCCATGATGTTGACCTTTGGCATAAAGGACACTTGCACACTGAGATTTTGGAATATATGTTAACTTCACGAACTATCCAAAATAAGTATTCAAAAATACACACACACATACACACATACAAGGCTCACATAGAGACTAAAAACAAGTCAAACCTTTGGTAAAATTTGTATTATTACTTATCGATCTTTAGAACGGTAAGTATGTTGATAGGTATTTGTCTGTTTGTCTGTCTGTTTGTCTGTCTGTTAGATGCACGCGATATCTCACGAAGGCGTGGTTGAATCTTCGACAAATTTTGCATGTGCATTTATCATATCTCGGAACAAGAGCCTATTGATTTTGGATGAATTATGTCGTATAATTAGCGAGTTATTAGTTAATTAGTGACGGGACACGCGGTGTCACTATAGAGTCATGAATCGAAATCGCAGTTTCGGTCGATAAGTCTTCGGTCTCCGACCGATATTCTCGTTGTTCTATTAGTGAATTGAGCTCATACTGGCAAATATGTTTCAATAAAATTTTTGATTGCAGCTTGCAGTTTGCAACATCATCGATTCAAGTTAATGGTGGCGTCGGCGATCTAAACGCTATATCTGCGATTTACGAGCCGCATCTAACTAGTAATTCGTTTTAATACCACATCTTTAAACGCCCATGCTATTTGCGCATCTTATTGTCTCATTCATGCGGCGACTGGTCAACGAACGCTGTCACAAATTTATGTTACAACACCCATTTCTTTGACACTTTGAAAACTTATTCTTGATAAAACAGTATTCTCGTACTAAAATATTTGGCCAAATCAAATGTTAAAAGGTGTTTAATCAAATAAAAATATATTCAAGAGATGAATTCTTTCTTTGTGAAGCAAACAAATAGGCCCACTCGTACTTTTTGGTATCTGACTAGTATTAATGTGTATTGTCTTTGATTTGTAACACGTGCGATTCATTAAAAATCGCTTACATTCCTCAGCTGTCGCTAATTAGCCTTTCATTATGCATCTATATGAAAATATCAATTTATATTTTTTAACGTGACATAAAGCTGACGCCCACCTTAGATGGACGGAAAAGATCAGACGCACCCGTCTCTTACCGCAAAACGACGCTACCAATTTACATTTATATCAAACATCAACAAGAGACGTGCCATTTTTTCCACTTGGTAATTTTATCAATTATTTGCTTAAATAGTGTTTAACTCCGTAAATAATATCACCATCCGGTCTCATTGTTATAGAACAAATAGTAAAATTTGTATTTGGTTTTATTAAAAATTTCCATTATTGTGCGAATACTGTTGGTAAAATTTGTAACCTCAAATCGCGTTTTTTTTTTCAATTTTTCAGATAT